ACTGGAGGATTTGCGGGAACTTATTAACCACACTGGAAGAAAAATGACATAGGGTGCTTTTACACTAGGAAAAGTTTGGGAGCGTTTCACTGATAAGAATGCATTAGATCCATTCTGAGGATGTGGAAAAAGCCAAGCCGTTAAAAAAAAAAAAATGTTTTTATCAAAAACATAACTGGACCCGTCTAATTGCAAAATAATACAGCTGGGTTTTATATTGTCATCATAACACAATATTGTAATGCTTTTAAAAGTAACTTTCCCCAACACTGAAGCTTACCATATTTATTTTCTAAATCCATATTATAGATCTTATTATGAACAATTCATTGTGCATTTTTGACCTTGTAAAGTTTAACTGGACCTTCCGGAGACAAACTGCTCTCTGGTGACTTCAGGGTTGCCAGGACTGCGAAACAAAAGCAGCACAACTGCTAATCAAAACTAGCCCAATTGTGTGTGTGTGTGTGTCTGTGTGTGTGCGTGTCTGTGTGTGTGTGTGTGTGTGTCTGTGTGTGTGCGTGTCTGTGTGTGTGTGTGTGTGTGTCTGTGTGTGTGCGTGTCTGTGTGTGTGTGTGTGTGTGTCTGTGTGTGTGCGTGTCTGTGTGTGTGTGTGTGTGTGTCTGTGTGTGTGCGTGTCTGTGTGTGTGTGTGTGTGTGTCTGTGTGTGTGCGTGTCTGTGTGTGTGTGTGTGTGTGTCTGTGTGTGTGCGTGTCTGTGTGTGTGTGTGTGTGTGTCTGTGTGTGTGCGTGTCTGTGTGTGTGTGTGTGTGTGTCTGTGTGTGTGCGTGTCTGTGTGTGTGTGTGTGTGTGTCTGTGTGTGTGTGTCTGTGTGTGTGAGTGTGTGTGTGCGCGTGTGTGTGCGTCTGTGTGTCTCTGTGTGTGCGTGTGTGTGTATGTGTGTGTGTTTTTGTGTCTGTGTGTGTGTCTGTGTGTGTGCGTCTATGTGTGTGTGTGTGCGTGTGTTTGTGTGTGCGTGTCTGTGTGTCTGTGTGTGCGTGTGCGTCTGTGTGTGTGTCTGTGTGTCTGTGTGTGTGTCTGTGCGTGTGCGTCTGTGCGTGGGC